GTTGTGAAGAATTCATTCACTATAGTTGATTATGTATTCAACAGCTGTTCAATGTTTTCAAAATTCCATCAACAAATTTCACAACAGTGAAATTTTTTTCACGACAAAAAAGTTAGTGAATGAAAAAAGTGAAAAGGGAATATATTTCACGTGAAATGTTGCGATAGGGGTGATTGTGTAAATTATTCGTAAAAAACTGATTTTTATGACCTTTGACCCCAATATCTTGCTTAGCGCGAACGATAGTTATGGTGACTTTTAATACCTTATTTTAAGTTTATATAAAAATATTCAAATTTATATTGAGAAAATTCTGAAATCACACTTCATATTGAGATAGAATAAATCTTAGAATTCTAATAGATTTTTAGAATTCTAATGGAAATTTAGAATTCCATCATTATATTCCAATGTACTACATTGTATGTTGTATTTTCTCAATATTGAGTTGATATAGAATTTTTTTTGAGTTGATATAGAAATGTTCAATAGCTTCTCCTTACCTTTATTAATAAGGTATTAATAATATAATAAAGGTAAGGAGAAGCTATTGAACATTTCTATATCAACTCAAAAAAAATTCTATATCAACTCAATATTGAGAAAATACAACATACAATGTAGTACATTGGAATATAATGATGGAATTCTAAATTTCCATTAGAATTCTAAAAATCTATTAGAATTCTAAGATTTATTCTATCTCAATATGAAGTGTGATTTCAGAATTTTCTCAATATAAATTTGAATATTTTTATATAAACTTAAAATAGTGTAGAATACATTAACACAATCATTTATGTTAAATTTTTAAATTGTATATTTAAAAAACAATTACATGAACACTGCCAACCCTGCTATGTATTATTTATATTTTAATATGTTCCGTTACTAAACTGTTCCACTTGATGTTTATTTAGTACACCATTATAAAATGACAAAACAATGACAATGGTTTGTTTAGTTTTCGAGTGTGTGTGTTTGTTTGTATACAGATATATCTATGTATATGAGAGAAACTGCAAAATTAAAATTTTTACAAGACTGTATGTAATGTAAACAGAAACTCAGAGAAAAAACAATGAACTGATTTGTTTTATTTACAAGGGAGGGGGAAAGATAAATAGAGAGGAGACATAAAAAGTATGTATTAATATGTCTTGTTTTAAGGTTTGCAACAAAGTTGCAGTTTTTCTTGGGGAAAATTTTAAATAAGTTTTTTAATGTCAGTGAGGGAGTGTTATTTATATTACGAAAGAAATCAAATTGTTACAAATATTAAAGAAATTTAAATGATTTTGGAACAGTTCCACAGCAGCCGAAAGTTCTTGCTTGAGGGGAAAAACTAAGTTGAAAACTTTGGACGAGTATCTAGTGCTACCCTTACTTGTGATGGACTTGAAATCTTAATTATTCAAATGCGTAACAATTACATTCCTTTTTAAAAATACTTGAGTTAAGAGAATTTCCAATGTAAAAAATAGGTAATAGGTATAAAAAAACAAGGTTAAAGAATAATTCAGAAGTGGATAATACATCAAATAACGTACGTGTAACTACCTTCTAATGTATAATGGTCAATCAGTCAAAGATATTAACAAATATGTATGTATGTACTCTAAACAATATTTTAAGTTTAATTAATTTATAACAAAATTAATTAAAATTCCTAAACAATAACTAGTCTTTTTGTATTTAATATTTAAAAATAGAATTTGAATAATATGTAAATTAAATTACATACCAACCATCTGTTAAATTTAACGGTTTCGATATTAACTTTATAAAAAAAACCCACTAAAAAAGTTACAAATTTAAATTCAAATATCTAACTAACCTTGATAGCAAATAACAAATACCTAAATGAAAGTCAAGGAAAATATTTAGCTGGCCAAGTTCAAGTTTAGCGGAGAGAAAATCTTTCTCGAAATATCATTTTGTATTACCTAATATTAAAAATAAATTGTTTATTAAACAAATATCTATAAGTAAAAATTTAAAACATCATCATCATCATAATTATTAGCTAAATAAAGACGTAAATATTTAAAATTAATAAATCTATATAGCTAGATGAACAAAAATATTGTACATATGTATTCGACAATAGTATTCTTATGTAGATAAACAAGTATGTTTAGTATAGAAAAACATTAAATAACAAAAGTAGCAAATTTATAAACAAAACAAAAAATATTTAGCAAAACAAAAATTGTTTAATAAAAACAGCAAAATATAATTAAGTTGTTTAGAAAGAGAACTTTTGAAAAAAAAAAAACAATCAAAACAACTTATACATATATTAGCAGCAAAATTAATTATTTTCGACTAACTGACCTTCACATCCAAAATAAAAATAATTTTGTATGATTACATTTTTTGTTTTAGTATGCAATACAAAAAACTTAAAAAACAACAAATTCACAACAAAATCAGCTGACATTAAATAAAACAGTTTTTGTTGCTGTTGTTGTTACTGTTCGTGACATGAACGAATGCATACGAGCTAAAGATCACGTCAAAAGAACTGGCCAAAATAACAGTCTTAACAAATTACCACAAAGAAAAAAAAAACATACATAATCAACAACTAAAAAAAGAAATGACAACAAAAATATCTATAGAAAATACTATATGAAAAAGAAACAGCTGTTCCAAATTAACAACAATCTAGTGCAGCTGATGATATCGAAATAATAATAAAAAGAAAACAAAAAATATAAAATAAGAATTGGCCCACCACAATAACTTCTTATGAATACAATCAGAACAATTTGTGCAGTTGTTTAAGAGTTTGCTTTAAATTGTTATTGCTTTTTTTGTTCTTTACTTTCAAGCCAATAGTTAGTTATAGACTGGCGTACGTAATTATTGCTCAAACTACGTGAATCGATAGATTATTTTTCAATATATAATTCTATTAACCTCTGAACTGTATGAAATGAAGGAATAATAAATAAAAACTACAACTTGTAAGAGAACCCAATGACGCATATTATCAATTTGAAACAGTTATTGTTGTAGCTCCTCTTCACTATAGAGTATTTTTTTTTTTCATATTTAAAATTTGGAAAAATCAATCACTTTAAATCTTGGGATTTTAATTAAAATCTGTTAGGATTTCAAATTCTCAATATTCGTTCATAAAAATAATTAAGCAAAATTGCTAAATAGCAAAAATTTACAGAAGTTCTCTTTAAAATATAGTAGTTAGGAAGAGATGTAAAAATCTCTTACAAACTCCTAGAAGAACGCAGAATCATAACCCCTGTATTCTTAGACATTAGTCTTTACTTTATGTTTTATTTAGCTCTTTTTCTATATAAAATTACTATAAGCCATCAACTTTAGTATATTTTTATGAAAATGGTAGGGATAAGATTTTATCGATTTGGAAGGCCACGTAAATAATGACTTTGTCCCAAAAGGCACTTAAAGTGATATACACGTTTTCTTCTAGGTTAGTTAGATCTGTAAATGGAGACAGATACTTGTTGGCCCAGTACTAATAGGATTCAATTTGTAGTATAACATGTCATGAAATGTCAGAAGAGTAAAGCCTCGGATATCTCAATATTATAGAGGAATCTATGAAATATCCCTAGACCATAACATCCAAACATTATGATTCATGGGAATGTTCCCAATTCCATAGCTAGAAGAGGAAAGGAAAATTCAAAGAACATTTCTAAAGATGAGTACTGGTCATTTCTTGATTAAAGCATTTATCCGCATAATTTCAGAGGGACAATAAAGATCCAGATTACATACATATGTATCAGAAAACTTATAAGCACCTTGAAATTAATCTGAAATAAATTGATAGTTTTTATTATTGGAATACATTATTTATATTACAATATCCCCTTTTATGTGCATTTTCATCACAACGAAGTGCTTATGTAAATTCACCAAATCTTATGTTATTTGTAATGACTTTTCCACATCTCTTTCCTCACTTTCAATTCCAAAAACAAAATTTAAATCATTTTATAAAACTAACGAAGGTGAAGGGTATAAAAATATGTGAAATAAAATAAATTTTACATAAATAATAAGTTTTTGGTTTATTAAAATAAAATTAAATATGATTATGATTTTGTTGTCATTTTCTTTAAGTTATATTTTTTTAAGAAACAAATTAATTACAAACCAGGCCTAAATTTGTAATACCACACCCTACTTGCTACTGATATTGAGATTAGAACAAATTGGTAAAATTTCATAACAATAAAATTTAGTTTAGTAAACAAAAAATTATAAATAAACATATAATTGATAACACAAATAATGGATATTTATTTAACGCTTATATTACTTAAAATCATTTTCAATACATATTTTGAAATTTCATAATTTACTTTCTAAATTCATCTGATCCAGAAATATCTAAAAAAAATGTTCATACATTTCCCATATGGTCTATAATATGTATTCTACAATTTTAATTTAAAAACTAATAAAATGACTAATTTAAAAAAAGCAAAGGAAAGCTCTTTAAAATAAACTTTCAAAACTATTCGGTCTGTCTTTGCTTAACAACACTGTAACAACAAAAAACAATATACTACTTATTAAAGCAACTCTATTGCTAAGGTGAAAATACCATAAATACGCAATTACTGGGGTGGTGAAATTATATCACAATCACATCCAAATTAGTACATATACATTTCCACAAATTTCTCTGATAAGAAATCTCTGGAAAAGCACGAAACTGTTATATCCAATTAACTGTTATATCTATAAAATAATAGGTTCTTCTTCAAATACACTTCAAATTAATTATAATATTTACACTTCCCTACGTCATAGCCATTTTTTAATGAATGAGTGACGTTTTAATGAATGCGCATGCTGTTGCTGCTCGTATTTCACCACTCCAATGGAAATTTTGCTTACTTTTTTTGCCCATTTTTAGCCTCACTTTTTCACATTTTCAATGAATTTTTTCAGACTTTTCGTTGATTTATCAATTTGGAAGATTTAGGAACACTTACCCGGATGCTTCTGCAGTTAGAATCAGTTTTCTTGGTTTTTTAATTTGAACGAGGACAAAAGAAAAGTTCTCAACACGAATTCAACAAGAATTGTGACACGGAATATTTTTCGACTTTGACATATTATTTTTGTCGTTTCAATTTTGGTAGCACTGATTTATGTTTCAAATAAAGATGCCAGATTGAGTCATGTAAGTAAACAAAGAATACTTGAATTACTAACGGTATTTAATTAAATATGCAGAATCGTATAATATTAAAATAAATTTCGATATATTTCGGAAAAATTTGTAAAATAAATTATTTGTTTGAAAATTAATTAATTAATAATAGTGTGATTATATATTAATTTCAACAGAAATTTGTTTCAATTAACTTTAGTACAAACTTATTAAAACAGAAATTTATTTTTTCTGTTCTCGTACTTTTTAGAAGTACTAAGAGAAATTTACTTTTATTCTCATGCATGACATTTTTATAGGTTTCAGTCACGAATGATGATAAATAAATAATACGATGTTTGATGGAATTCGATTTGAAGTTGACCGATTTGAAACGGTGTGATTTTGATCGAGGAATGATTTATTATTTTCTTGCAAAATACAGCACTAACAACAAAATACATTCTACATACATATTTGAGAGAATTGATTTAGAAAAGATAAGCAAATTTTATGAAAAACTGTAGAAATTGAATGTTAAATAATACAAAAAAACGTCTTTGTCGAATTCAAATCGATTTGTTGTTGGAGATAAATTTCATCACAAACATATTTGTGCCTGTGTTCTACATTTTTTGAATCAAAAAAGTTGAATTTTCAGAGTTTTACACTTTTTAGTAGTGTGATTCAAATAATTTTTAAACTTATTACATTAAAATTAAAAAAATATTTATTTGAGTTACGTGTTCTCACCCTGTTTTAAACAAGACGATTAAAAATTTCTAGAATTTTTTTCGATTTAAAAGTTACAGAACACACTTATTGAATACGCACTGAATACAAAAAATAAAAATTCCAGTTTGTTAAAAACTTGGCCGGCTTAAATACAATTTCAAGTCGTCGCCAAAATATTTGTCTTTCGCCAACGCCGTTCATAATTTTTGTTGACGCAGGTCTCTGCATTATTACTAATATTTGCAAAATTTAGTTATTAAAAGAAACAAAAACAAACCGACAACGAATTGAAGAAAATAATACGATACAAAGAAATACATTTTTGCAACATATTTACATATACATTTTAAATAGAAAAAATATAACTGCCTGCAAAAATTTATGTGAGAAAAGACAGAAGGAGACAAAAAATGAGTTACACATCTAATGGGGCCATACCAAAAGAAATGAAGAACAACGGTGCTGGTTGCAGTGGTAGTAGTAGTGGCACTTCCACCAACGGTATGTCCAATATGAATCGCCATACTCCCGGCGAACGCATTACTCTACTCGTAGACAATGTTCGTTTCATGATCGAAAAAGACTTAATGACTGCCCATCCCAACACAATGTTGGGTACTATGTTCAGCACTGGCTTCCAATTTGTGCATCCCAACGAAAGGGGCGAATATGAGGTGGCCGAAGGCATATCACATACATTGTTTCGTGCAATATTGGACTATTACAAGACGGGTCTGATTAAGTGCCCACACACTGTTTCTGTGCCGGAACTGAAAGAGGCCTGTGATTATTTATTGATACCATTCGATGCTTCTACGGTAAGGTGTCAAAATTTAAGAGGACTATTGCACGAATTAAGCAATGAGGGCGCCAGACAACAATTTGAAATATTTCTTGAGGAATTCATTTTGCCCGTAATGGTGACAGCCGCTCAAAGAGGTGACCGGGAATGTCATGTTGTTGTTCTACTCGATGATGATGTCGTAGACTGGGATGAAGAATTTCCACCCCAAATGGGCGAGGAATATTGCCAGACCATACACAGCACTACTATGCATCGTTTCTTCAAATACATCGAAAACCGGGATGTCGCCAAGCAAGTTATGAAGGATCGTGGCCTCAAGAAGATACGTTGTGGCATTGAAGGTTATCCCACACATAAGGAAAAGATAAGACGGCGTCCTGGTGGTCGTGCCGAAGTAATTTACAGTTATGTTCAGAGACCTTTCATACACATGTCCTGGGAGAAGGAAGAAGCCAAAAGTCGTCATGTCGACTTTCAGTGCGTCAAATCAAAGTCTGTAACAAATTTGGCTGAAGCAACTGCCGATCCTCCACTTGAACTGGATGCAAGTGGCAATCCCATACCGCCACCCGAAAATAGAGCAGATAATAATGTACCCTTTCGGGCCGATGCAGATGCCAATGCAGCAGATCTGATCGATGTCAATAACGCAGCAAATGGTGGCGGCGGTGGTGGTGGGGCTGCTGCTGCCGCTGCCGTAGCTGTTGATGAAGCTGCCGATGGTGTTATTATGTTAAATGAGTTAGAGCAAGCTGCTGGCGGTGCTAATGATGAAAATGCTTAAAATATCTACACAAAATGGTCATGATGCATTTATATACATACAATTTGTATTTGTACTAGTATACGAATAAATTACGTAGATATCCGTATATAAATAACACACACACAAGCACAACAACTAATGTTTGATATTGTAATGCTAATTCTGAATCCATTTTTATTTTCCGACCTCTCCCTAGTCCCAGTTCCTTTCCATGAAAAATTATCTAATCTTATTAAATATCAATCATTAACCAGTATTTAAATAATCATCACTTTATAAATGCAATTTAAATTGCTTAAAAAACATATTTCATACTTATTTAATAAAAAAATTGGAAAAATATAAAAAATTCGAAAGTAATTTATTTTTAAGGGAGCTGGCTAATACCATTCAGATGAGCACTTATAAGGGTGGTAGAATCAATTATGGTCCGATCCTCATAGAACATAAGTGTAAGTGAATTATCGACATTTCCTAAGAAGGTATTTTTAAGGGGTTTTAAGCAACTTTGAAAGATATTCCTAGTCGATTGGCATATGACATACACGTAGGAACCTAAATATGTATAAACAGTTCTAGAGTTAATGTATTACAATTATATGTACATTGCTTTTTTATTTACATTTAAAGATGAAATTAAAATTTTTTTCAGAACAAAATTTTTGATTATAAAAAGATCCAATCAAAATACCGATGCCTATACGTATTATTTCGTTAAAATCCTTTGCAATCATTTTAAATATTCCCGTTACTGCTTAGAAAAATTACAATACAATTTTGTTTATATATTTTTATTTATAATAAAAAAACCAACTTAAAATTAGCTTTATTCATAAAAAAATTATGTGGAAAACGATACAAATTTATAATTTACATTTTCTTATCTTTTGATGTATATTTTTTTTTGTACAAAATTCAACTTCTTTTTTAAAAAATCAAAAGATTTTCCATGTTTGTATGTTTGGAACATTTTTATTTTTAATGGAATTGTCTCCATTGTTAAGAGGAAAAAACTAAATAATGAAAATAAATGGACCGACCAACTGGACACAGAAATAAATATGTATAAAAATTCATAAAACAGAAGATGGGAAAACTAAAAAATTAAACAATACAAATAATATTTGAAAGTGTGGAGTTTACATGCTAACTAAAAACAATTATTTATTAAAAATATCCATGAGTGTGATTTTTGTTTGTTATCTGGTTTTATAGTGTATTCCTTTGGTGGATAATAATAATGATTAGGATGGTAGTACGTATAACTATTTAAATAAAACTGTATGGCACACATCCATCAAAAGATGAATTAACCTTTAACCGAAACGTTGGTTTGTGATAAATCCGCATTTGTTGTGGGCGGAGCAGTGGTGTTAGTAGGGGCTTGAGCTGTGGCTGTTGACACCACATTTGTTTCGTTTGAATCCGTGCGAGGTCGTCTGAATAGAATAACATGCGGCTCGGGAGCATGCATCATATAGTGGACCCAGCCAGGACTTTGCTGTACACCCAAATTACGCCATTCCGTTTCGGTCATTAAATGCGACTTGGGTACCATTTTCGTCAAGTCGGGTGGTAGTATAACATGTCTGTAAGTTGCCAAAGAATATAAAAAATTAACTTAGTCACTTGTTGCTTCTTTTCCATTACTGCTTGCTTTTCCTACCTGTATTCATAGACAGCATCGAAATATTTTTCAGAATATTGTATTTGATCGGCTGGCATATTGCTGGAAAGAGTAGTTCAACGTTTTTTTTTTTTTTTTTTGCAAATTTCTTTGTTGTTAATTATATTTCTTCTTGTTTATTCTGGCAATAATTTATTTACAAACAAATTAGCCTCGTCGTACCTTCAGTATTATTATTTCTTCTTTTTCTTTGTTTGCTTTGTTGCTGCTATTCACTAGCAATGGTTAACACGGCAAATTGGTTATTGCGTTGTTTTCTTTGCCATTGGCAATATTTCGCATTAGTTTAATGATTGGTAACGCTGTTGTTTAGCCGTTATCATTTAAATTTTATTAATGACTGCTTGTTGCGGTAAAACACTAGAAGTGTAAAAAAATATAATATATTTGTTAATAAAAAATTAATCAAATTCCTTAAATACTAAGGAATTAAACAATATTATGTTATGTTATGTTAAGTTTGGTTAAGATTTCTCAAAGAAGTTAAACCTTTATTTTAAAATCGAATATGAATATTCTAATATGATGGAAAAATTCTAATGGTGGACTCGCATTTTCAAGGGATTACAAAAAAAAAAACACATGTTTAATCAAAAAGTCCGGGAAATTTTGTAACTGACTCTTATTCTTATATTATTAATAAAATGTTTAAAAATTGATGAAACTGAAGACCTTGAAGTTTCTTATTGTCGCTTTAAAGGAATGGGTATTATCCACAAAATATATCGAAGTTAGTTTCTTTCCCTTTCACTTTACGCGACAATTTCATCAATTCTGTAACTTTGTAAATATTTATTTACACCTTTCAAAAAAATCTAAATATTTATAAAACCATGGCAACATGAAATTAACCTGCTTGATTTTCCCTGAACGTTGTTGCCTGTCTGTCTATCTTCTTTTCTACATATGCAAATGCATATGTATAGTAGATAAATAAGTCTGTCGTTATGTCAATTTTTCTGATTACTGTATATTATAATACAATTGGTAATAATTGATTCAATTATTTTTCCCTCTGCATGTATTTGTATACGATAAACCCAGTGCCTTTAATAAAATAATAAAGGAAAAATCGAGTGAAAATAAATTTTGATTTGTTGCAAATAATCATGAAGAAATTAAATACTGTCGTTTCATATAACAGTGGCACGTCTTCGGAGACTAGTGAAACCCAGAGTGTTGAGGAAAATCAACAAAGCGATAGTGTTACACCAAGTGGCACGAATACGCCACCGATACAAAATTCTGGCAGTAGGTAAATTAAACTTGAATAAATAACACTTGTGTGTCTGGCATTGCTTTTGCATTAAGTATTTATTTAATAATTTGTATTATTCTAAGAATTCCCAAGAGTTGGAAACGTATGAAGGATTCAAGCCAAGATAAAGATGCCGAATCAAAACGGCCACCATGGCGGGCTGTTAGCATTTCAACTTTGCCCAAACCGGATAAAAATGCCCTTTTAAGGGCAAAGCTATTGGATGCTTCTAGGTAATTCATACATATTTATAATATAATTTTAGTTAAATTTAGGATTAAGTAAGGATTTTGGATAAACATTTTATTGTAACACATTTTAAGAAAATATCGCTATTCTAAATCGAAAGAAAATTATGAATCATTAATGCGAATAAGGGCATAAAAACCACTTTCCACAAAACGTGTCTTTTGTCATAATAGATCCACTTACATCTGAATAAACAGATAAATTGAAATATTTGTATGGTTTATACGACCTTATTCGGCTCCATGTTTCAAATTTTTGGAAAGTTATTAACTTTTAAAATTAATATAATAGTTTTTAACATTTTTAAAACAAAACATTTAGGGCCAATCTTTAGGTGAAAGATTAGCGATTAAATTAAAATTAATCCTCGAAAGTTGTCTTAGTTAATTTTGTTTGCAAGTTTAAGCGCCCAATGGAGGTGGTTTAAACTTAAGCATGAAATGCAAAAGTGTAAACAGCTGATGCAAAAAAAATAATACAATTTTTATAAATATAAACATTAAAATGTTCTATTTATTGATTAGTATAAATTATGCACACCCAAAATACATTTTTTTGGTTTTAAATTTAAGTTTTCATTAATTTTCATATTAAATTTACAATTTTCTTCTTCCTTTTCATAAAACATGCATTGTTTTGATAACAAACAGTGACATTTTCTGTTGTTTTGTATGGCAACACTGCGAAGTTTAATCTTGTACTCAAAAACATCAAAGGAGATTAACATGAGACTAAATTTACGATTAGATTAACTAATCTGATTATTAATTGGCATTTGATTGCCAACTCAAAAACCCGCTCTTAGGGAGAGTTTTTAAGTTGAAGATTAAACGCCAATTAATAATTAGATTAGTTAATCTAAAAATAAATTTAATCTAATGTTTATTCACTTTTCTGTTTTAGAGTTCTAATTTAAAAATTGCAGTATTGTCATGTACAACAACAGAAAATGCCACTCTCTGTATCAAAACAATGGATCTTTTATAAAAAATACATTTAAAATAAATTTAATTAAAACCAATAATTTGATAATTTAGAGCGGGTTTTTGAGTTGGCAATCAAATGCCAATTAATTATCAGATTAGTTAATCTAAAAATAAATTTAATCTTTTGATGTTTTTGAGTACAAGATTAAACTTCGCAGAAACGTCACTGTTTGTTATCCAAACAATGCATGTTTTATAAAAAAGAAGAAGACAATTGTAATTTTAATATGAAAATTAATGAAAACTAAAATTTAAAACAGAAAAATGTATTTTGATAATTTATACTAATCAATAAATCAAACATTTTGTTTGTTTGTATTTTAAGTTTACTTAGCTGCACCTGCAGCTATGACTTCGTGGCCGAATCGAAAGATTATAACGCCAACCCAATTATTCCAATACGACTGGACCGAATCAAATTGAGTTTTTTTGGTTCTCCACCATAATCAAAATTAAAACTTAGGTTAAGTTAACACGATTGCAACATGCACTTCAAAAAACCGTAACTCGGTACAGTTATTCGATGTCACACATTTGACCAATGCGGTTTGAAACGTAAAACTCTCGAAGGCAGAGCAAAAATGACGGCCTGATTCCCCTTAAGCGATAATGGCAACGACGCACGACGACCTTCCTCCAACCAGAGCTAAATTCGAATGAATCAAACATTGTAATGTTTATTTTTATAAAAATTTTATTAATTTTTTTTGCATCAGCTGTTTACACTTTTGCATTTCTTGCTCAAGTTTAAACCACCTCCATTAGGCGCTTAAACTAGCAAACAAAATTAACTAAGTACTCAAAAACAACTTTCTAGGATTAATTTTAATTTAATACCTAATCATTCACCTAAAGATTGGCCCCTAAAATCTCCAAATAAAGGCCTTAAATGTTTATTTTCATAAAAATTGTATTCATGTTTTCCCATTAGCAGTTCACATCTTGGTATTGCTAAAGTCAAATCTCTGGTACTCAAAAACAACATTCCAAGGTTGCCAGTTATATTTTACAAAATAACTGAGACAAAAGTATACTTTTCTACTTATCCGGATTTGGCCTCAGAATTTCATAATTCATGATTACCAGATATCGTAATAAAAGCACGAAGACATCTTTGTAAAATTTGTTAAGTTCGAATCTGGCCTCTAAATTTCTACATCACGTCGAGAGATATCGTAACTTGAAGTTTGAAAAAACGGCATTTTTTGGCCTTTTTGAGACGTTATAACAGCGCCAAGACAACTTTATTTATGTATGGACTTTCCATTTCTGTCTGTTTTAAAATGAAGGCCTTATATCTGACATACATGCATGTCTTCTTTCTTCTTCGAGATAACTTCAGGAAACGATATCTCAAATCTCAGATGTGATGGAGAAAGTGATTTGGATTTAGCGTGGCTTTTAGAAAAGTATAACTTGGTCTAAATTTTGTCGGCCTGTGAGATCTTAAAAGACAATTTGTATAGGTCCATAATTGATTACATTGAACATTAAGATGAAAACCTAAAAAATAAATTTCACTTTTGAACCTTATATAAAGTTCCGTCCATAACTTAGGCAGAGTCACATAAAGGGCCCTTATTAAAAATTACTGTGATGTTCATAAATATTGTATTAACATTAATGTTGTGATTAATCGGAAAACTAATAGGACATTCCATCATTTTTTTGAAATAATAGACGATTAAGGGCAACTAAAACTGCAGTAGGTGTACAAACCGATATAGTACCCACAAAATTAATGAAAGAAGTTAGCCTAGGAGCTCAAACGGATTTAATATTATTAAAAGAAGTTGGTATGCTAACAGATGGATCATATGCTAAACGAAGAGATGGGACAGAGGAATGTGAGTAACACAATATTGTAATGATAATAATTACATTAATATTACTAATAATATACAAATTTCAGATATTTTAACTTATTCGGTACCACTTATGACCGATACCATTGAAACGGCTAATGTAGCAACCCAAACTTTAATACCCCGACTACCAGGTGATGCTTTTCTTGAAGCATGCACCAAACCAACTGAACCATATGATCCGAAATTATTACAGCAATGTTCCGATTCTGAAAGAAGATTACTAAAGCAATTGGCAAAAATACGAAAATCAGTAATACCGTTAACAGCAAAATTCAACGAATGTCTCGGCGATGAAGAACCAAAGGAAAATGATTCGCCCACAGATACGGATACCGATAACACCACAGATACCATTAAGTCTATGGGCTCAAAGCATTCACTCGATTCTAACGATTTATATCCCTACACTACTTACCGATCTAGTTTGCTTAAACCTACACATCAGTCGTGGTATTTTGAATATGATAATGAGTTATCATGCGAAAATAAATTTCATCCCTATACCATAACGCCCAACAAACCTTGGAATAGTTTTATGCCATTAACATTAACAAGACCGTATGCCGATTTAGATTTAAATCTATTGTTAATGGCAATAGATGAATTAATACAAGAATCTAATCGCCTAGCTGATCGAATTGAAGTGATGTCAAAAAAACGTGATCGTGTCATCTCGGCACCACAAATGTTCGGTTTTAAGGAAAAAGTTAAAGAATTTGTACCAATTGTTTATGAACCACCCTCGGAATATTGGCTACCCATAATCGAGGAACAGGAGAAAGTATTGGCTGAATTGAAAAGTTTCAAAGGGGCTGACATTAAGAAATACGAAGAATATATTGAAAAGTTAGATTAAACTAATTACACTGGTGGGCCGCGTTTTTGCCACACAAACTACCTATCAGAGTTGTGTTTTAACTATATATTCTGATACACTTATGTATTTTGTTTGAATTACCCTCACAATATTTGTAAAAAGGTCAAAGTTAATTTTCGGTACTTAAGATGTAAATTTATGTTAAAATCCGCAAAAAGATAATAAATATTTGTTTTTACTATCAAAGTTTTTGTTGGCTTACAAGAGTGTAGTATTTCCTGTATAATAAATAATTTTTCTTAAGTGGTTACCGATCTATTACACTCTTGAACACTAAATTTTAGGGATACCATAGTGTTTTTAACCTCCTAAAACTAACCATGACATTTGAGAATTGTCAAAATGAAGTGAACTGTAGTGACAGTAAAAAAGAAGAAAATTGTAGCGGATGCGCACTAACAGTACTTTTAAGAAACAATGGCTGGCGAAAACAAAAAATAAATAAAAACACATGTAGCTGGAAAATAAGAAGAAAAATATGCAAATGTCAAAACAAAATAGAATAAAAAAAGAAAATTTTGAGTAAATAGTGGGTGGGGGACAAAAATAAAAAAGAACAATAACAATAAGAAGAGAAAAAAATATATATTCAGGTGGAAGCAAGAGCACGAAATGATTTGGGGGGAAATGTTTGTAATAGAACATTTTCTAAAGCAAATGAACTTTTCTAGGTGTTTTTGTTGTTGCTCTGTTTGTAGTGGTTTTAAAAACAATAATGGTGGGCTAGGGTCATGTAGTGTTTGTTGCTGCCCGATAGAGGAATATTTCAAATAAAATTAGTGAAAAGGGAATAAAAATTTAAATACATTTTCTTTGTTGGATTGTCCGTCGTCTTGTTTTAATCGTATACCAATAATATCAGCAACAACAATTTAAATAAAAAATGAAAAACTATTCGCAAGCAAGGTGAAAGTTATAGAGAGATACCTACAGACATAGATGTGTTATAATCGTGATGACATAAAATCAAATTACCGTTATTTAATAGTTTTAAGGAAATTCTTGAACAAAAGAGAAGGATTTCTCTATTATACTCTACTGTTACTATTAAATTTAAAAAACAAACGAGTGATAACAACACTTTTTATTGTGTCTTGTTAATATTGTGTACATATTTTTTGTTTCCCTTTTAAAGAGAACATTTTTTAACGGTTTATTTTGTTTTGCAATGTTTTTGGAACAAACAGTAGTGTTGTGAGAATGGAATGACAGCCAGCCTGTTTATACGAGTGAATATTTCTTTTTGCAGAGAGTAACCGTAAAACGAATTTTGGAATTGATTAACGAAACACGGACAAAAAAATAAAACGAAAATGGACAGAACAATGAAAATAGTGAAAGGAAAAATGTTCTAAAGAAAACAAGTCCATACATTTACGAGGCAACATAAAAACAGCAGCAGAAGCACCAACAACAAAAGCTCAAAAAATACAATACAGTAGAGTGTAGTTATTTTTGTACTAAACCAGAAAAAATTCATTCTTTTGCCAGAAATTAATAACGAAAAACTTTAAAAGATTTACAAAATCATTCAAAAAAAGTGAAAACTAATACAAATTTTCTAATAACAACAACTAAAACAAAAAAATCAAAAAAGACCTCTTAACCAATCGAAATTGCCAACCAACAATCATTGAAAATTTTCTAGTGTCTGAAACAGAAAAAAATGTAATCTTCATGAATTGACATGGAAAAATTAATACATCACACGTCCAAATATAAACATTTTTGGGATTTTTTCCTAAAAAATTTCACAGTTGCTTTACATTAACAAAAAACCGAAATTTAAAAAATTAAATAAAACAAAATACAAAACATAAATGATAATTATGAAATAAAAGAAAAAATGTATGAATGAATAAAAAAATAAATATATAGGTATAAACGAAAAGAAAACACACCACACACACTGTGAGTGAGTGGTGCGTATCAATCAAGTGAAATAATGGAAAAAATATTTTGAGTGAAAAGTGATTAATTTAAATTTTATAAAAAATACTTACCTATTTAATGTACTAAACAAATTAATTAAAAATGTTAAATAACGAATGATATAAATACATATATTTTAATGGAATAACCATAACAAATCTAAAATTAAGATTCCCTAGGCAACCTTTTGTCAAAAATTCACACATACACACACACGAGCCAAACACACTTCACCCTTCCTCCCATTCTCCCTCCCCCTCATCATTAATACGTTCAAAATAATAGAAGTGAATATTTTCCAAAATATTAAGTGAAATTCAAGTGAAAAATGTTTTTTGATAGAAAATTGTGGCTGGCTAATAAAACCGAATGCATTGGAAAAGTTGGAGAAATAGCAAAGTACGATTTATGTATAATGAGGGATTTTGTTTTAACAAAAGTCTGAATGTGTTTAGAGTTTTTTCTATAAAAAGTTTAAAATGCCGGACCACAACTTAACCTAGCTTTTTCGCAGTGTAAATGTCGAGAGTCAAACAATGAAACTTGATTATATCAAAAAAGTCCGATTTTATATTAAAATATTGAAAATTTCGTTACAGTAAATATCGAAAACTTTAAAGTATTTGCCGCGGAAACATTTTTATCGCTCGGGAAAAAAATTTTCAAAAACTGTATATATATAGGTATATGTTATAACCCTGTACTTATTTGTAATCCCAATCAAAAATTTAAACGAAAGATATATGGACAGTTATAGATAGATAGTTTGATTATCGAAAAAGTTCGTAACATCATCAATCAGTCCTGGAATAATACAATGGATTGCAAAATATCAAAGACCTTATGTCCAGCACTTGATGTGAGGGCTACCAAGATACTTACAGAACTGGACAGTTTCAGTCTAAGAAATCTGATGTGTATGCTAACGAGGCATTGTTCGCTCAATTAGGGCCTTTAAGTGGGAAAGTGATATACCGGACTATTGAAGGTTATGTGAAGATCCAGAGGAATTGGAAAGGATCGATCATATAATTTGACACTGTTCTAGAATACAGAATCGGTGGTTGAAATTGCTGGGAAATAGGTTCCATGACGAACTGAGGGAAATTGCGACTTAACCCACGCCATCTAATAGGTTTTATCAGGGAAATTAGTAATTTCTTCGACTAGGTTTTATAGGGAGACTTAGATTCTTTTACTATTCTTTATTTAGGAAATCGATTTGGTTTAACTATCTGGTTGAAATTCTTTGGGAATCTTATTTTTGTTTTTTAATGTTATGTTCCTCTATCTTTGGATCTTCACACGAAGTGAAGCACTTTTAAAGCTAAAGGGTTGTCATAGTTTTAAAAATTAAAATGCTCGTGGAAATTCGTTACGTGATTATAAAAATTTGTTTAAATTTTAGTTGATTGAAACTTTCTCCTATGCTGTGATAACACTTCATTACCTTTTAAAAAACCTTTCAGCTCACTACCAATATTTAATGTTCAATTTCAGAGGGACATATGTACTTATTAATAAAATGATGGACTATTTTTTGAGTAAATTTTATTAAATTATATTTAAAAGTGAGACCTGAAGTTAGATTACAAGATTTTTTTTCTGAAAGAAAAATAATGAATAATTTAAAAATTTCGGATTTTCGATTTCGATGGAATTCTTCTTAGTGCCCTTGATAATCTAGATTAAATACACATAAAGCTTTTTTTAGTACTACACTCTAATAGCTACGTATTGAGACCACCAGAAGTAATCTATTGCGGAATCAATTGCCCATTCGTAATCATCATTTTACTAGGTCATGTACACTTTAAAGTAACTAGCATATTCGTTAACTAGATCTAATAAATAGTTCAGTTCCCGAACTGCAGGGATATTTACTTAATGTCCATTAAAATACATAACTAACTGATGACAGGATCAGCTAATCAACTAGCCAACACAAACAATCAAACTACATAAAAATAACATGCATACAAGTGTAAAATAATACAAATTCCTAATAATATCCTACTAATAATTAAAATAATTGTAGTTGTACCTACTAAAATAAAAATGAAGTACGACGTAATATATTATTACTATTATTATATTGTTTTTCTTTCCACTAGAAACGACAAGTAAAAGGACTGTAATAACACAAACAAAAAGAGCAAAAATAAATAAAATCTACTAAAATTTTTAAGCGCCATTTCTTGTATTACCACCCATTGTTGCTTAAATGCAGAACCATACTACACTTCACACCTAAACTTTTAATAGCCTTGTATGGGCGCCAAAACTCCCTAAGGATATTTTAATAACGTATTTTTACTTTTTTTGTTTATAACAATATCAAACAGACACACTTATTCATACACATGTATAGTAAAGGCAATAATCGAGGAGGCCAAAAAGAACAGCAATAATAACAATAGAAGCAGCCGTCGTCGCTCTATTAAGTATTGTCTATGGACCTTTTAACTGCTCGTACAGTGTGTTCAACCTAAATTCTTTAAACACTCCTTTTAGAAAATTAAATTGCATTAAATAGTAAAACCGAATAAGCCACACAAACAACAAAGGTTAATAATAAAATAATACAACAACTACAAATAAAAAATCCTTTCTAAAAGTTTATCCACACATCATAGAAGACAAAGAAAAAAACAGCAAAAATAAAGTCTTCAAAACGGTGACAATACTTGATTCCTTTAGCTGCTCTTGCTCCCTGCATCCTCCGGTGGACGAGTGAAAACGAAAATCATGAATGCCAGTCTTATGTATGAGATTCTCATGTATTTAAATTCATTCTATTTCGGTCTGTATGCCGCATTTAAAGTATGCATCAGTGTGTTGAAGCCCATCTATTTGCAATATGCAGAGAATGTTTTGACACGTGAGGCGAGTATTTTATTGGCCATGTGCATTTTGGAAACCATACGCATCATATTGGGTCGACGGAGTAGTTTAAGTGATCGTGGTAAGTATTCGTATGATGTTTGTTATATTTTTGAAATACATAATTTCAAAAATTTGTACATTTAGTTAGATGATCCTAAGAGGAGATCAATGGAATTGAAAAAATGTTTGTAGTAACTCAAATTTCTCTAATTATTATTTATAAGTTATCTTTTCTCCATTTGTAATAAGCGTTTGGCCAAATTAAGACAAATCAAGTTTGCTTTCCGTTACTCGTTTCTTTTTGAACTAAGCCTTTATTTTTGAATAGAGTAATTCTTTATCACCAATTCTTGGTTGATTCTATAGTAAAAAACAGACTGTTGATTATTTAGTTAGTGATCTCTACAAGAAAATATGTATAATCTAGATACTGGATTTGCTTTGAATATATCCATTCGATTTTTTTAGGATCTAATAAAACATCATCTTTATCGCATTTCTTCAAAAACCTGCAAATAGATGGAATAACCTAGACACATATGGAGTCATTCGATTAATAAATATGATGCAACTTATATATATGTATGTATATACATATGTATATAAGCGGGATATGTCGAGATTGTTGGCAGTAATAACTGGACATTGGGTGCTAGCTAGTCAAGTATGACAGAGATGGACTTTTGCATTTAAATACTTAACTGATGACGGCGGAATTCTGGTATATCTCGCGAACATTACAAGTTCAGTGTTGTAGCCTCCCAAAATTTAAATTACCACAGATCAGTTTTTACAAGAACAGTGCGCTAAGACAGTGTAAGGATCACTCCCCCCATTCTCTATTGAAGTTGTTGAGATTTAACACTGTTAAAATGGCATGTTATGGCTATTTTTGATTTTAATATGAACACGAAGCTGTTGCTGATGCACACTTCAACATTAGAGAAAGCTTTAAAATGCAAGTCTAAGAGACGATTTAGGGCAAATTCAAATTGATACTTTTGAAACTCTATGCCTTACGAAGGGTTTTTTGACAAAATAACTCATTCGAATCTCAGCATTACGACTTCACTAGATCTTAGATATCAAAATTATGTTAAGACTTCCTTAAATCTCTAAAGACAAGTCTTGATTTCATGATATGCTCATTGAAATTTTCCTTTGATGAGGTTATATGAAAGTGATATGACTCCTTCCAACGGTGTACTTTTAATCACAACATTCTTTATTCTACCTATTCTCAAACTAGTATTAATGGCCAAGATAATACAGATAACTTCATGCAAGTCTCCTTCTACTGACCTTCCTTTAAGACATGAGTGTTGTGACTTGCAGAAAATACACTTAGTATATATACATCCACAAATCTTTTCAGTAGAACGACTTATTTTCCTATAAACTTTTGTGGTTTATTTTTCCATTTTTATGAATAATTACCTTTCCATTCCTTGGGATTGTACCCTAAATTCTAGACTACCATCAGAATTATTACCTGTTACAGCATTTTAAAGTATAGCGCGAGTTTCCCTTGAGTAAGTTCTCCTACATATCCTATCCTCTATGTGGTGTCTCCATTTTAATTTCCGGTCAAGGATTAACTTTGTCTGTCGCCGGTATCTTCTTGCCCAGGAAGCAAGGTTCAGTATACGTAGGCATGAAATTGGGCTTAGTCCTACTATAAAAAATTGGCTTTATAAAAGTGTAATTAGACTAATTCTAGCTTATACTTTAATAATCTGGTGGACTGCTTTGGACAAATAGTGTAATATCAAACTATTACAGGGGTTCTGCGTAGAATAAAGATGGCGCCCACAGCCCATAATATATTTACTGACAGCCAGAAGGCAATTAGGGCGATATCAGATTATAGATCTAAATCTAAGTCCATATTGTATTGTAAGAAAGCTTTAATTGAATACTCTTCCAGAGGTAAGATTTCCATCATATGGGTACCAGGCTACTCGGGAGTAGTCGGCATCGAAAGGGCGAATATTATAGCTTTAAAGGGAAGGGAGCCCGAGGCAATTAACTTGACAAACGCAAAAGCTGAATTAAAAATATGGGTGAGAGAACCCCATAATAAAACGGTGGGTAAAACCACAAAGATCCTACGGGGCAGTGATGCCAGGAGATTTTTTTCAGAAATCCCTACGCTTATGAGAAAAAATCCCTTTTTTCCCTACACACACTTTTTATTTTCCCTACACTACTTTTTTCCATTTTTTTCCAAGTTTATCTTAAATAAATACAAAAATAACATAAACAAGTTAGAGTGCTATATTCGGCTGAGCCGAATCTTAAATACCCTCCACCAGCAACTTTTGTATTAATACATTTCTAATTAATAAAATATTCGTAGAAATAAGTTTTCTCATGTCTTAAATAGAAAAATCCCAAGATTTAAACAGCTTAAATCTACTACAATTCCAAGATTTATTGAACATTAGAAACGCCACTTTCTTTTAAATTTTTATAGCGCCCTAAGATATGCTTTAGCGATATTCAGTATTTGCATGTATGCATGTGTGTGAAAGATTTAAGGATTTTCAAAATACATACATACATATATATAGTTTTGTTCTACACAAATTGATAATGCAAATAGTTAAATACGGTTAAAGCGACCAAATATAGACCGATCGTAAAAACTTCTTTAAGCAAAATTTCTGTACATAAAAACTATATTTCAGTCAAATTTTGTATCTATATCGTAATTTAGTAATAACATACATGGGAGTAGTTAATTATATCGACTAATTAATTGACGATTTCATTAGCATTAAATTGAAAAAAATTATAATTATTTTTTTTTCATTAGCATTATTTTGTCTAATGGTAATGGTTTTTAATGAAACTATTTCATTAGTAATTATTTAAAAATAAATTTTCATTACCATTATTCAATGGATTTTAAAAATGTTCGAACATTAGTTCGAATTTCGAAATTAATTTCGAATATCCGAACATTATAATGTATTGTCATTAGGTGAAATCATGTATGCCAAATTTCAGCACATTCAGACTAGAAGAACTAGTTTTAACAGCTTTAAAAGTTTTTCGAACACGAGTTCGAATTTTCGATTTTTTTTTTTTAGGTTTTATGACACAGAGATTAATTTAAAAACATAAAAAAAATTTCGAAAATAACTTCGAATTTTCGAACTTAATTTCGAATATTCGAACATATTATTGTATTGTCATCAGATGTACTTATGACTGCAAAATTTCAGCCAATTTGGTCTACGGGAACTGGTTTTAAAAGCTTTCAAACCTCGAATCTTCGAAAAATTTTCCTTAATATATTTTTCGACAATTATAAATACTAATTAAATTCGTTTTTGAAAATTCATTATAAAATTCATTACCATTATCAAAAAAAGTTATAATGAAAAAAATATAATTTTCATTAAATGATACTTAAAATATTTTTCATTACAATTTTTTCTATAAATGGTAATGAAATTTTAATGCTTAATGAAAAATTCCCATGTATGAGTAATAAGTAATGTGCGTTTTAGTGATTTTCTGAAGGGAACCTTGTATGGGACCCACCGCACCCATGTTATGAACCTATCGAGAAAAAATCTTGAAATATAATTTTTGTATACAAAACTATTATTTGTGCCAAATGTTGTATCAATGGCTTTATTTGGTAATGAGAAATGTGCTTTTAGGAGATTTTCGTAAAAGGACCTTGTATGGGAGCTATGACCAATTATGTATATAAAGACAAAATTACAAAATTTTGTATTTATATCATTATTTGGTAATGAATATTGTGCATTTAAGTGATTTTCTGGAGGGGACCTAGTATGAGAGCTATGATCAAATATGGACCGATCGTAAAACAATTTTATAGTGTAATTTATGTATATAAGAGCAATATTTTTGCTAAATGTATGGATATCAAGATTTGGTAATGAGTTATGTGCGTTTAAGTCATTTTCGGGAAGGAACCTTGTATGGGAGCTATGACCAAGGATGGACCGATCGTGAAAAAATTTTGAAATAACATTAAGTGTTTTTTGCATTACAAAATAGTATTTATGAACAAAAATACTATTTATTTATATCATTATTTGGTAATGAGTTATGTGCCTTTAAGTGTTTTTCTGAAAGGGACCTTGTATGGGAGCTATGATGAATTATGATTCTATAGGAAAACAATTTTACAGTAATATTTCTCTGTATATGAGCAATATTTCTGCCAAACTTTATATGGATATCTTAATTTAGTAATGAGTTATGCGCGTTTAGTGATTTTCGGGAGGGGACCTTGTATAGGAGCTACGACCAGTTATGGACCGATCGGAAAAAAATTTATCTGTAATACTTCTGTGCATATGAGTAATATTTGTACCAAATTTTATATGGGTATCTTAATTAAGTAATGAATTATGCGCGTTTAAGTGATTTTCGGGAGGGGACCTATGGGAGCTATGACCAATTATGGTCCGATCGGAAAAAACTTTCACAGTAATATTTCTATGCATATGGGCAATACATATACCAAATTTTATATGGATATCTTAATTTAGTAATGAGTTATGCGTGTTTAAGTGATTTTCGGGAGGGGACCTTGTATGGGAGCTATGACCAATTTTGGACCGATCGGAAAAAAATTTCACAGTAATATTTCTATATATATGGGCAATACTTATACCAAATTTTATATGGATATCTTAATTTAGTAATGAGTTATGTGCGTTTAAGTGATTTTCGGGAGGGGACCTTGTATGGGAGCTATGACCAATTATAGACCGATCGGAAAAAAAATTTCACAGTAATATTTCTATGCATGTGGGCAATATTTATACCAAATTTTATATGGATATCTTAATTTAGTAATGAGTTATGCGTGTTTAAGTGATTTTCGGCAGGGGACCTTGTATGCGAGCTATGACCAATTTTGGACCGATCGGAAAAAATTTTCACAGTAATATTTCTATGCATATGGGCAATACTTATATCAAATTTTATATGGATATCTTAATTTAGTAATGATTTATGCGCGTTTAAGTGATTTTCGGGAAGGGACCTTGTATGGGAGCTATGTCCAATTATGGACCGATCCATAAAATTTTTCCTCTGAAAGAATTCTATTGACATAAGATTTTAATTTGTAAAATTTTGTGAAGATATCGACATTGTGGCGGAAGTTATTAACAAAAAACCCATTTTCCGGGAATATGTACTTTTGTATAGGAGGTATATGAAATTGTGGACCGATTCTGGCAATTTTCAGCAGGGATCATGGTCTTGTGTAGAAACGAATGTATGGTGATTTTCATGGAATTATCTTGCATAGTTTTCGAGAAAATTACATCACAATATGTAAAAAATGCTTTTTTTTTCGAGGTTGTTTTAAATTTTGATTCATAACTTTTCCCGGTGTGAACCGATTTTGCCCATTTGCAATACCAAACAACTTAGGAAAATGAAGAACATTTTGGGTGAATTTGGTTAAACTCTATTGCTTCGTTTTATCGTGAGCGTGTTTTACACAGACAGACGGACATAGCTAAATCGACTCAGAATTTGATAAGGACCCAGAATATATATACTTTGTTGGGTCTCAGGTGAATATTTCTTGGTGTTACACACGGAATGACAAAGTTATATATACCCTCTATCACCACTGATGGTGGTGGAGGGTATAAAAACTAAAATATTGGCTCTGTGTTATAATATACTAGCTATACCCAGTGTGCTTTGCTACCCTAAAAGGAATATGTATAAATAAATACCAGATTTATTATATGTTACATATAAAAGATGTCAAGCAAATTATTGCAAGTTCGCCAGTTTCTATCTATCGCCAATTTCTATCTATCTACAAAAAATTTGAATAATATAAGAGTTTCCAAGATGCACGAAATTTTGTATTTAATTCATATATGTGGTGCCAAGCCCCCCATTGAAAGTCCGCCCGTTATTCTCTAAATGTTCTCATGAATGTCAAAGTTCTTCATGTAAAATTTTAAGATTCTAGCTCTAATAGTTTCTCAGATATACGAATTTAATTCATGTGGGGGCTTCAAGCCCCCCGGATGAAAGTCCGCCCTTTTTCCTCCAAAATATTCAGATGATTATTAAAATAATTTGTTCAAAATTTGAAGAATCTAGTTCTATTAGTTTCCCAGTTAAACGAAATTTTGTATTTAATTCATATGGGAGGTACCAAGTAACCCATTGGAAGTCCGCCCGTTATATTCTAAATGTTCAGGTGAATGTCAAAGTTCATCAAGTAAAATTTAATGATTCTAGCTCTAATTGTTTCTCAGATATACGAATTTTTCTATTTTATTCATATGGGGGCTCCAAGCCCCCCAGATGAAAGTCCGCTCTTTTTTCCTTAAAAATGTATATATATATATATATATACGTATTTTTTTTTTTAATTTTTAGGAATGAAATTTCTAGAATTTAGATATTTAATTTTTTACTTTCAATTTTACATCATACAAATCTTCCAACCCTGACTCCTCAGATTAAAAAACAAGACATTTAAGAGATTGGCAGTATCACGATTCGATGTTAAAAATTTATTTTATGTGCCCCCAACAAAAAAATTTCCTAAAATTTAATATAATTATTTTAAGTAAGGTTTACTTTTGCATTTACTTTTTGCGGTTTACTTTAATAAATATTCAGAACATTAAATTATTTTTTTCAATCCTGAGTTACTGCATTAAGCCCCCGACTACTCTATCTATAAGTAGTCAGAATATATCGCCCTACGGGATTGGCATAATCCAAAAAACTAGTTTCAAGAAAAATGGATATGAATATTTATTGATATTTAACTATTTTCTTTGATAACTTTTAAACAAATCAAGGGATTTTAAAAATCAAATTCAGATAGTTGAGGTTAATATGTTTCTCATCTAAATTGAAATTCAATTTTTAGTTGCCTAATATTCACGAAAACGTGGGTTTTAGTTTTTACGTTTACAAAAAATCGATTTCACATCGAAAATAATAGACATATTAGAAATTTGATAAATCTATATGAAAAATTTTAGTATGTCGCATGTTTTGTAGACCTTTCCCTTTTTCCCTACACGTGAAATTTTTTAAAAAAATACCTACAAAAAGGGAAAAATCCCTACACTTGGCATCACTGCTACGGGGTGACCTTAATGAGAGCAACACGAGAAATCTCCTCAAAATGAGCAGGTCTGTAGTTAGTATGATGGTACGTATTCTGAGGGGACACACAATATTACAAGCACATCTATACAATATTTGGACGTGCGAATTCAGACGAATGTAGAGCATGTGGAGAGGACAGTGATAGTGTGGAGCTCTTTCTTTACCACTGTCAGGCATTCGTAGAAGTTATATCCAAGTATCTTAGAAGTGATGTTATTCCGGAAATAACATTCCTGACTAACACTGATTGAAAATTCTTAGGAATTACCTACGTCCAGGAATCTGAGTTTCTGAATATTGAAAAATAATACATTCAGTGAACAATTTTTTTCATGAAAAGGAGCGCAAAACAGGATTAATAGTGGCCTAGGTGTATTTCTTCGGATTTGATGTACTATACATCCTCCTATAAACCGAACCTAACCTTCTCTTGAGTAATGTTTAATGGCGCTAATTTAAAATGCCTTTTAGTTTAACGTTATATGAATATATTCAAGCAAACAAGACTATAACTATAATTGTACAAATTTTTTTCAAATTTTACCTTCAATTATTCACTTAATTTATCGCTTTATTAAATTTGTAAATACATAATTAATTTAAAATTTTTTTCTATTTCATTTTTTTCAGCTTGGCAAGCGATAGCATCTGTAATATTAACACTGCCCAGTCTTGCTATTGTTATTTATTTATGTTGTTTTCAAACCTATGTTCTCAAACTTGAAATTATTATGAGTGCCTTAATGATAGCCCTACAAGGTGCTGAACTAGTGTTTGCCTGTATATTTATTTGTACCATGTGTCGTCCGGTCACATATACCTAGCAGTTGATTATGTCAACGTCACCAACAACATTATCGTCGTCGTCATTATCATTATCATCAGCATCTGAAATTTTATCATCAACATCATCGTCATTATCAATTACGGAGGACTATTTCTACTACGTTTTCTTCTTCATTATCCTGGAACAACAATCGAAACTGCTACGTAAATATTGTCACAACAACAAAAACAACAACTATTACTACTATTGCATCGTTAACATTTGTAATATAACCGTTAAAAATAATTACAAAAACAACAACAATAATAAGAACTACAACAATCCATATATAAATTATGAAAATTTTAAAATCAACAACAACTACGACTATAATAAAACTTTAAACACATTCGATAGAAGCGATAAACCAAGAAGTTGAAGTTAAAAAACTGTGTAAAGTGTGATTTTTCGGCATAAGAAACAACTTCCTTCAAATAATTTATTATTAAAAAGAAAAGCTAAAGTATGCGTTATTGTAAAAAATCGAAAAAAAAAGAAAAAATCCGTTAAATTTCTCTATAAGATGAAAAATATACTAATACGAACTCCTCACTCCTGCACACACTTAATTAAATTTGTCAATAGATTTTATACTTGGGTGTATGTGAGTGATGTAATTATTAATTAAAACAACAACAATATGTACATTTTTCTCTCGCAAATGTTGAATTAATATGGATAAATCAAGTTTTTTTTTAAATTTAAGGTAAGTTTTTTTCCTTTTTTATGTTTTTATTAAAAATTAACTTAATATAAATGGAATTACTTTCATAAACACATTCAGAACAGGCATCAAAAATTAAGTACTTTAGTACTTTTTCAGTACTTATCGGAATCGAATGAATCATTCGGTTCTTTTTCCAAATTATAAGCTTTTGATAAGAAGTCCAGATAGTAGTCAGTTTGTAGTTTAGTCTAGTCTAGTGTATAGTCTAGTCTAAGTCTGGTCTATATTCTAGTCTATTCTCTAATCTATAGTATAGTCTATAGTCTATAATATAGTCTATAGTATAGTTTATAATTCTATAGTCTAGTCTATAGTATAATTTATAGTCTAGTCTATTTTATAGTCAAGTCTATAGTCTAGTCTAGTTTTTAAAGTACTAAACTAATGTTCCACTAGACTATAGATTATATTATAGTGACATGACTATAGACTACACTATAGGCTAGACTATAGACAGACAGACTGAGATTTAACAAGTACGAGTGATATTAACAAAATAAAGATGTACTTATTTGAATCATACAGATTGAAAAGAAATTCAAACTAGATACATTTTCTAGCCTAAGTTTGAAAACCCGCGTTTTTAATCATATTTGAGATGTTTTTAAGATATCTTAGTCTAAAAACTTCTCATCACAGCAAATTTAAAGAGGCCTTTTAAAAAACATTTGTGGGAAAACAATGATAAGTTGCGACTTAGAGGTTTGCTAAAAAATAAAATGTGTTTTTACATAGCTCAGTCCATTAGAAAAGTATACTTTGGTCTGTGGTTAACAATTTGTTGACATGTGTAGTTTTTAAATTCAAATTGTAATGGAAGGAATAGTTGAATATACATATGTATATTTTTTCAACCAGTAGATTAACTGAGTAGCCAGAAAGAGGTGAAGAGTCCATTTTGCAATTCGCGTTTCCGTTTTCGAACCGTTAGTGTAGACTGAGATCACGACGTCCCAAAGGATAACACAAATATTTATATGTAGTTTTAATCTTATCAATATTTACCGCTCTAAACTGATTGCCAACAAATTCCTTTATGAATTAGTTTTCAACATGTTTAAAAATCCATTTAAATCGCATGATTTATATTTTTTATTTATTTTTCACACTACGACATATTTTTTAATATTGATATCCCACTGTGTTTTTATTAATTGAAACATTTTATTGTAATGTGCAACATATTTTGTCGTTGCATTTAAGTATTATTGCATTTATTTTTATATATTCTATATTTCAGATTTAAAATCGCGCGCCAGTGTTTTTATATCAACCACAAAATACAGACTAACATGATGTTGATAATTTTAATTTAAAATATTCTAAATTTCAAGATGCAATGTTATGAAAAGAAAGAAACATTTTTAATTTTCAGCAATATTTTATATTCTTTTTGTTTTTGTTTAACACATCCAACACATTCTACAGTCGTAGTACAGATGATTAGTAGTAGTCCCCGTTGCAGAAATCGTTGCCCCGTCATCATCGTCATTGCTAGTTTGCCATTAGATCTTCGGTTTAAAAATAGCAATTCTTAAATTAACATCTCAAGAAAAAATTTCAATATTTTTTTGTATTTGAAGGTATGGAAACAAGGTGCAATAGACACTGTTAATTAACTCATAAACTGCATTAGAATGAAAATTATGTTGGGTGTGAATGGAATTAGATTGTACTCTACTCATGATAGATAGATAGATAGATAGATAGATAGATAGATAGATAGATAGATAGATAGATAGATAGATAGATAGATAGATAGATAGATAGATAGATAGATAGATAGATAGATAGATAGATAGATAGATAGATAGATAGATAGATAGATAGATAGATAGATAGATAGATAGATAGATAGATAGATAGATAGATAGATAGATAGATAGATAGATAGATAGATAGATAGATAGATAGATAGATAGATAGATAGATAGATAGATAGATAGATAGATAGATAGATTAGATAAGATAGATAGATAGATAGATAGATAGATAGATAGATAGATAGGTAGATAGATATGTATATTTTGTTTGCTCATGGAAAATATTTTATTATTTTTTCCTATACGTCAGAATTTTTATATAAAAAGGTTTTAATTGTGCATGTTTTTTTCAATGGTGCTGGTAAAATATTTCACAACGAGTCTTGGTTTTGGGGACCTTACAATCTACTTAGAAAAATATTCGATAATACAGATTTTTGTTAAGGTGTTGTAAGACCCATATTTTTTATATAAAAATAACTAAAACTGTAAATATTGAATGTTTCTTCAAAATTAAGAAATTTTCTTTCTAAATGAATAATTACGAATGTGAATGCAAAAGCGAATGCAATTTCTTAATTCTAGTTAATTTGAAAAGAAAATTGAAAATGTGAAATAACATAATATATTTTGTTGAAAAAACGAGTTGTAGCAACATTTTTACTTCATAATACATAACTAGAGCACAAATACAGGTCAGGGAACTTTAATTTTCATTCACTCAGAGCGTTTACATTCAATCTTTCTTTTAGTTTTCCTACTGCCGGTCCACACTAGGAAACTATTTTTGGGAAACTTTTGATTTTGCGTGAGATAGAAAGAGAAAGAAATATCATTCATCTCTCTCGCGGTACGGAGTTTCTCGTACTAGGAAACTAACACGTAGTTTCTGAAACAAAAGATTCTATGAATAGACATTAAGGAAACTTTAAAAGAGAATTAAGAAAAAGTTTCTCAACTAAAGTTTCTGTGTGTGGACCGGCACCTAGAAAAGGTATTTGTTAAAACATTCGCTAAGATTTTGCGAATGCAAAAGCGATAGGAAACGAATAATTATCATATGCTAAAGCGAGCATTCGTTATATCTCTAGTTTATACTTATATCATGAGAAAAATCATTGTAAACTAGTGTAATTAGAAGATGTAAAATACATACCATTGTTTGTCTATCTACCTGTCTGTGCATTCGTAAAAACAGTATTTTTCAACTTTTTATTAGGCGTAAAATTATTATAAACAATTGTCTCGAAATTTTTAATTTACAATAATTCTGAATAAGTTAAACAATCGCAAAATCTTTACGTATTTGTCTAATTAGTGGCCTGGTTTAGTGATATACAGAAACGAATATTATTAATGCAAATGGAAAATTGGAAGTGTACTTGTCTATATAAATTACCAGCTATATCTAGTGTGCTTTGCTACCCTAAACACAAAATACATAAAAGCCCACTTTACGAATTTTAAAGATTCTAAGGGCCAATCTTTAGGTGAAAGATTAGCGATTAAATTAAAATTAATCCTCGAAAGATGTTTTTGAGTACTCAATTAGTTAATTTTGTTTGCAAGTTTAAGCGCCCAATGGAGGTGGTTTAATCTTATGCACGAAATGCAAAAGTGTAAACAGCTGATGCAAAAAAATTAATAAAATTTATATAAACATTAAAATGTTTTATTTATTGATTAGTATAAATTATGGACACTCCAAAATACATTTTTTTGTTTTTAATTTAAGTTTTCATTAATTTTCATATTAAATTTACAATTGTCTTCTTCTTCTTTTTATAAAATATGCATTGTTTTGATAACAAACAGTGAAGTTTTCTGTTGTTTTGTATGGCAACACTGCGAAGTTTAATCTTGTACTCAAAAAGATCAAAGGGGATTAACATAAGATTAAATTTATTTTTAGATTAACTAATCTGATTATTAATTGGCATTTGATTACCATCTCAAAAACCCGCTCTAACTGTACTGGTTAAACTATGTTTTTTGTGTTTACTTCATGGGAGATGCCACGCCAACTATAGCAAGTTCGCCAATTTTTTTCCAAACGTCAATTTGGATTTCAATGTAACCTATGAACAGTTTCAATAATCTTGTTGTTTCCCAAACATACGAATTTTTGGATGTAATTTATGTGGAAGAGCCTTCCACATTTAATGTTAGTTGAGTTGCTGGCAGGGTATTCTCCGAGGAACGATACATAAACAAGCAGTATACTTGTTAGGCATTATATGATATGTAATTTATTACTTACCAATATAATTTTAGCCCATTGTGCAGTTAGTGCTGATTAAATGTACATACATACATATGTACTTAAATTTCTATTAGTTAATTGTAAAATTTTAGTTATTAGTCATTGTGACGTAAAGTAAATTTTTCACAGTTCATAAATACAGAATTTGAAATTTATGAATAATTTTAAACGGTGCTTTTGTGTGCAGTTAATATGCAACTATTAAAATTAATAGGTAAAATTAAAAAATTAATAAATGTATTAGGGAATTTTCTTTTGTGCTGAGTGGAGTATTATTAATACATACATGATCGATTTCGTTCATTTGAGTTCTCAAAATCCTTTGGTTTTGAAATATATAAATTGTTGAATATTTTTTTATTAAACAAAGTTTTCTTTTATTTATTTTTTAGCGAGAATTCGTTATTCCAAATAAGTAAAATAACACCCTAATGTATATGTAAAAAAGCATTATACATCTGTGAAATATCAAAATTAGCCTAAATTTTTATACTTAAACATTTGATTGGTCCACGTTATTATAAGTATAATTTAAAATTAAATGATCAATCATAAATTTATTGACCGATAAATATATTAAAGCAAACAAAGGTGAATTTTTCGTTTGTGTCCTTGTTTAGAATTTTATAACATGTATTCAAATCTTAATCTAGCCTAAAACTAGAGTTGTTTTTGATGAAATATTAAACTTTAGTGAACACTACATATTTATATCGACAGTGTAGAACAAGATTTTAACTCAAAGGCCAGAATACTTTTCTAAAGTATTGAACTGCGTTAAATCCGAAACTGAATTTGCCGATTACATGAGGTTTCGGCTATCGTTTTCTTCTCTCCCAGAAAGCGGATTCGGTATACTTATGAATTTTTGTCTTTCTTGATAAATTTCAGTAATTTCAGACCTTCTATACAAATAGTTTCTACTAATCTTCCCTTTACATAAGCATGCAGCTTATAGTTGAGGTCTTTGTCTGGTATTCTGAGGCTTTTCAGTCGATTAGACCTAAATGTCGCATAACTTACTTGCATCCTATCATTCTATTGGGATATATGCGTATTTCAACATGCAGTAAATATCTTTGACAGATGAGCCGAAACCAGTTTCATCTCTCCTCTGTAAAACTCTTGATTGCCTTTCTAACCACGCCAGTTATAATAACTATCACTATGTTAGCCTCCCCTTCTCACCATATCGGTTGAAGTATCGGTTGGTATCTAATATACAAGATGGGAAATGGGAGTCTATTTGGAGTTTCATGGTCACCTCTATATCCTGTAGTTTCCTATCTACCTTTTTACAGAAAAGTTTCCGGGATTTTCGGACGATTTTGCCAAGTTTATTACGATACTCATCAATGTTGAAATATTTGTATTACAAATGGAATTCCCTGTTTCAAATTTAATTAATTTCCTTAAGTCCATGATACGATCCATGAAACATCATTTAGGTATTTATATTTTTTTTTTTTCAAATTTCAAGACAATTAACTTAAAACATTAATAAAAAACATTAAATGAGAACAACTAAAAAGATCTTAATAATGTACTTGTGCAAAATAGATAAAATAAGTTCTTCTCTGAACTGCACAGACAAATTTCGAGTACCATTGATCAGTCTAAAAATACTATTCCGACAAACAAGTCACAAATTCATTTTACGTGCAAATTTCTCATTTTTTTTTGCACTGCCCACTAACAGTGTTCGGTCGTTATGTGCTGCTATTTTTAACAAATAAAATCTAAAAGAACAAATAATTAAAAATACTAAATAAAAATTACAATAAAAGTGTGCTAATTAAGTAGACATGTAAAAACTTAAATTAACAAAAAAAAAAAAAAAAAAACACATTATCAAATATCGATGACGAATAGATTGCAATAATTTGAAAAGTAGTTAAGAATGCCACCAAAACGTGTACCACCACAGGTGCCAAAGAAGCCAAATCCCAGTCTCACCTATGAGGTGTTAATCTATTTGAATTCCTTCTATTTCGGCATGTTCGCTGGCTGTGAACTTGCGATGAGTCTCCTTAAGGCAATAAATCTGACCTATCCAATGGATATATTGATTAGAGACATGTGTGTTATATTTGGATTCTGTCTGTTGGAAACGATACGCATTATAATGGGCCGCAAGGGAACTCTAGCCGAGCGAGGTACATAAATTAATGTTAAAATTAGACAATAAGAAATAAAATGTGTTGAAATGATTTATTTTATGCGAGTAAATTTACGTACATACATTCATGTGCATCTGTTTTCAATACTTAATGCTGCTAGTTTTCAATATCGTTAAAATACAATAAAAAATAAAATACATACATATATACATACATATGTATATGTACGTCTACGTTGGAAAAATTTATCGAAAGTTAATTAAATTAAATATTTATAGTATAAATTCTAAACATATAATGACGACAGACTAAGTTTACGTATAATCAAAAGTAGCCAAACAATTTGCTTGATTAACATGATAATTAATTGGGTCAAATATCGTTGTTGAAAAAGAAATATCAACAAATAGTTACGATGCTTTTCAACTTTCAAAAGCTTAAAATTTTCAAAACCTAGCTTTGATAACCTACACCAGCTATGAGTATGTTCAAAATGTGGAAAATTTGTTGTTGTATTTTTCAATAATTTCGAAATATGCAAAACGTTTATTGATAAAAAAGCCAATTTTTGGAAAGAAGCTTTAAATGGGGACAAGGTTCAAGAATCTCATAAATTTTAGTGAAGGGTTTACTTTTTATAAAAGTTATTTAAGACGAATTTAATAGTGATACTTATGTTTGTAAGTGAATTATGGACGTTCGAATCACTTTCTAAAGGGAGCTAGGGTCAAATCAGGACCGATCAGTACGAAAACAGGCAGTATTTTTAAGGCTTATATAAAACTTAGTTTTGCTGATGTTTACATAGATATTAGTAAATTAAAAAATATTTGATGGCAGCTAAATGAAATAATGGTCCAGCTTTAACCATTTTCAATAAGCTTCACCAAAAAAATCTTGAAAATTGCGACCTTTATTTTTGCTCAAATTTGGCCATTTAGTAATAAATTTTGAACTTTATTGTAAAGGAATCGTAATGTGCACAGAGTAAGCATTTCGGAAATTGCTTGAAAACTTTAAAAGTTATTGCAAATTCCCCAGGCCATTAACGTGTCTCACAGCACATGAATTCGAAATGTGTCAAATAAATTTGCTTTTTTGGTATATATTCTAAAAAAATTTTAGTTAAAATATATCTACAATTACTCGAATATTAGTTCTTGACCTTATAAGATAACGCAAGCTTGTTCTCAGCTATGATCAAAAAAGTTTGATTTTTTCAACGTCCGTTTCAAATCTCCAACTTTTAAACTTTGTTTAACAAATTTCAAAACTTTTAGGAAATCTCATAAAAAAATAATATCAATATCCAAGTACCAGCGATTTAAACTCGGTGGATTTAGGGAAAATCGCTTTTTTTTGTAATTATTAGAGAATACGTATTAATTTTTTACTAATGTACATTTTAAATAAAGTATTTTACAATATTTGGGGAATCTTAGTGTACTATATCGAAATAATATTTATTTGTAGGTCATATTTACCAAAAATGACTGAAATTTATCGTACATAGTCCGATATTTAAAATAGAATGAAAAAAGGTAAATTAACACTTTAAGACACTTGGGAACAATTTAACACCAAAGTTAAACAATTCGAAAAAACACTATCTATTTAAATAATGCTCTATATAATTAGAGGAATAACAAAAATAAAACAAAAAATTATATATTAAGTATAAAAACTGATGAAGTAACCCTGTTTGACCATATAAAGTTTGTATTTTTAGACATATTAGATTGAAAATCGACCGTAAAAAAGGATTACATTAATTATCAGTTTTAAAAACGATATTTTCTCTTAAAAATATTCACCTCTATAGTCAAAAAGGGTTAAAGAATAATTTTTTATACTTAATATAGAATTTTTTGTTTTATTTCTGTTATTCCTCTCATTATATAGAGCATTATTGAAATAGATAGTGATTTTTCGAATTTTTGGACTTTGGTGTTAAATTGTTCCCAAGTGCCTTAAAGGGTTAATTTACCTTTTTCACTCTATTTTAAATATCGGACCATATGCGATAAATTCCAGTCATTTTTGGTAAATATGGCCTACAAATAAATATTATTTCGATATGGTACTATAAGAATTCAGAAATATTGCAAAATTTGACCTTTGGACTTCACAGTTTATGGGTTAAGAATGTCCGATGTGCAAAATTTTTAGTATTTTGTATCTTCTGTTTGGGTTCACGGCAGATTCAACTCTAAAAGTCATAATCTCGATCAGTTTGCCACACTCTTCTTGTGTTATGAACATCCATACTTCATGGCAGATCTCTTAGAGGTCAGTTGTGTTTTTGTACATGAGTGTTCGTAATTGTAAACCCTAATTTACAATAAATTTCCAATCGAGTTTAACTCTGGCGACTGTAGGAGCCAATATAGCTATAAATTTTTAACACTTTTTTGAAAAATCTATTGTTTTAAGCCTTATATTTGGGGTCATTATCCAACTGCATTATAGTGTTTTCAACGTTTTAACCTCAATCATTAAAAATATCCCGATTAAATGGCTTCATAATATCAGTAGACATTTCGGCATTCATGTTACCATTGATTTTATACATTTTCCGTACGCCTTCTGATGAAAAATATCCCTAAAATAAAAGATTTCCATATTCAAATCTCACAATGGGCATTATGTCGCGGTCACTAAAAGACCGCATTCGGTTCTCTATATACATACATACTTTGGCCGATCAGATCCAAGAAGATTAATTTGGCTCATATGCCTTTATAACATTTATCATATCGTCAAACGTCCAGTTTTTTAAACCTTTTAGAGAATTCTAATAGAAGAGCTGTGAGCTTTCTGTGTAAAGAGGCTTCATATACCTTTCTCTAGCATGGATAAAATTGATGGATGGCATAAAATGTATGGACTCATGAATATCGAAATTTCTATTAATATTATCAAGCCATTTAATTTGGATATTTTTGATGATTGGGATCGAAACATTGAAAATACTATGATACAACTGGATAATGACCCCAGAAATAAGCTAGAACCACTCGATTTCTTCCAAAAATTGTTAAAATTTTATTGCTACGGTGGCCCCTACAGCCGACAGACTTAAACCCGATTAAGAATGATAAAATCGTGTTAACAATTACGAACACTCATGTAAAAACACAACAGACCTCTGGGAGAGCTGCCATGAATAATAGACGTTCATAATGCTAGAAGAGTGTGGCAAACTGATCGAGATTATGACTTTCAGTGTTGAATCTGCCGTGAACCCAAACAGAAGATACAAAATAATAAAAATTTTGCACTAGAAAATGTTAATTTATAATAAAAATGTTCCTTTAGTACTACGCGCCAAATATGTGAAAATGAGTTAAATTTATTTTTTTATTTTTCTGAAGTATATTTAAGTGGCTTTTTTATATATTTTAGTTCAAAATATCTTCATCAATACCCTTTTAAATACCAAAAAAACTTTTTTAAATGTCGTTTTTATACCCTCCATTCCGTTTGTAACACATCGAAATATTGGTCATAGACCACAAAAGTATATATATTCTGGTTCCTTATTAAACTCTAAGACGATCTAGCCATGTCTGTCCGTCCGTCTGTCTGTCTGTTGAAAGCACGATAGAGTCCGAACGGAACGAGCTAGAGGATTGAAATTTTCCACAAATATTCTGTATAGGTAATGTTTGTTTGGTATTGAAAATGGGCAATATCGGTTCACGTTTTTGGATAGCCCCATACATAAACATGTAAACTGGTGTGGCAGGTTCTGTAAAAGGTTGAATTGCACATCCAAGGAAAGTCCTATAAGGGGACTTGAAAATACCTCTTTTCAATAATAGCCCACGTAATCACCAAGTCCATTTATTCATTGAGTATTATTCTTAAATAACTTGTTTTTTCCTTTTATTTTTTAATCATTCTAAAAAATTATGTGACCCAGATTGAGCTCTCCGGTGTTGTAGGGTATCAAATTATCAAATTGTGTCCTGCTACTTTCAAACTCGTTTTTATCACAAAAATGCTCTTTTTCTCCATATGAAATTAAGAAACCATCTTTGGTGAATATTTATATAAATTATTTAATTTCATAAAATTTTAAAATAAAAAAATTATCTGAACATTTGTTTACTTTTTTTCTTTACAGGTTGGCCTGCAATTATGTCAGTTTTTCTAACTGTACCGTGCTTTCTTGGTGTAACCTATATATTACTTTTACAAAAATATAAAATACGTTTAGAATATGTACTTTGTACTTTACAATTGGGTCTATATCTCACCGAAATTTGGTATGCCATATACTTTGTTTTTTCACTATGTCGTCCAGTAACTTATGATTAGGACTAAAAACCAAACAAAAACTACAAAAAAATTATATAAAATAATTAAAAAAAAAACATTATATACTCGTAAAAATGTATGTAACTTTATATAAAAACAAACAATTCGTAAATAAAATTTAAAAATAAATCTAAATCTAAGTGTAAAAGGACCCCTCTGTTATTTATAAACGTTTAGAAAATTGTAGTAAATTTACAAAATTGTAAAAGAAAACAAAATTTAGAAAACTGTTATACAAAAAAATAAAAAAAATAAAAATAAATAATAATAATAAATGTAAATTTTCTTAAAAATTTATGTAAAACTGATTAAAATTTATAAATATAAACTTAAAATAAAATAATAATGTTAACAATACAAAATCAATTGGAACCAATATAAGACAACAAATAAATATTTATATTAATAAATTATTATTAATTATTGTAATTAATATTATTTTTAATTTTGTCAAAAGAATATAAATAAAACAAAACCTTTAAGACAATTTTTTCTGTAAAAATGTGTGGTTTAATCACAAAAAAAAAAAAATAAATAAATTTCACCACAAAAAATAATAAAAATTATATATGAAATAAAGAACAAAAAGAACTGCATATTTTGGATTTGTTTATAATAAAAAAATATATATTTAAAATTTAAGAATTTGTAATTATACTTACAAGAAAAAAAAAGTAAAAACACAGTGTCTTTAAAACAAAATAAAAAACAATTAAACAAATATTTTCAATCATTTTTTATTAATTTATTTCGATTGTATTTAACTTACTATAAGAAAACATTTTTGTTTCTTTTTTCGATTTCATTCTAAATAAAAAGAACATAGAAAAAATCCAAACTTAGATACTTAAAAACAATCTCTATCCTTAGGATACATAAAAAAGAAATAAAAAAGTAAAAAAAAAAACTTCCTTAAATTAAAAAATTAGTAAATGTTATACAATTAATTCATCTTCTAAATGTGGAACATAGTAAATACTTATTAAATCCAGTTAGGGCCTTTTAACTGTCAATATTATTATACTATTTTTGAAATGTTTAAATAGAGTAACGTGCCAAACAAGTAATTTTTAAAAGTTCTGTTTTATTTTCAGCTTAAGTGATATTAAAATTTTAATAATGTAATAGAATTTCGAAAACAGCTCTATTTATGCACTTTGTTTAACCATTTATTACATTTGGGCTCATCGGCCATTAATGCAGACTTTGGAATTAGGGGCCTTAATGGAGGGTTGGTTCAATTAAGTACCGGGCTCTACAGAAGTTGAAATACTTTAAACAAAGCGCTTTTCATGAATTTTATCTTAACTCCCTAAGTTTTCAAAGATTAATTGACAATAAAGAGATTTTTTGTAAAAGAGATTATATGGAAGCTAGGGGCAATTATGGTCCGATCTTCATGAAATTTGGTAAATAAATTATGGTTCTTATAAAACTTGCTTATACAAACTTCATCGCTATACTGCAATTTTTTTATTAAGAACCCAGAATATATATTGTTGTGGTCATCGGCCAATATTTTGATTTGTTACAAAAGGAATTACCAAATCGAAGTACTCCGAAGATAAAATCGGTATTTAGCAAGTACTTATTTCCTGTATACATACATATGTACATACATTAGTGATATAACTTTATTTGGGCGTAAAATACCACATCATTACCTTATGGCCAATACTGTCCTGATAATAAAAGACTATTTTTTAAGTCAATTTGTTGAAAAGACTTCCTGAACCGAAAGCAATTTCTAAAACGCTTTTGTTCATTATTTTTACTAAAATTATTGTAATAATTTTCTTTAAACTGTATACAATTATCTATAATATGCAATATTATTGCGATTTATTAAAAATTCCATAAAAGTACAATATTCTCTTTAAGATAATCTAATAAAAATGTACAAATGTTGGCAAAATTATTTATTTTTCTCATTTAGAAAAAGTAATTTTAATACAATACTTTATCGCCTTTGGTGCGGGAGCTTTTTTTACGATCGCGAAAAAATAATATCATATTCATTAATATCTGTTCATGCCCTACAAGTTTTTTCTATAGTATTTTTTATATTCGCAAAAATTGTTATCACCCTAATGTACATACCTGCTGAATACTATCGATTAGCCGGTGTTAGGATTAACTGGTTAATTTTCTACAATTTTCGGTAAATTGGTCGATTAATCGATATTTACTATTTTACATTAAAATTTTGAATTTCCTCGAGAAATCCATCTATAAATGTTAAATAACTAAAACACTTAATTGTTTCTAAAAAGTCGTAATTTTTCCACTATTAAATAAAGAAAATTTCCTTTTATAAAACTCTTCAAAAGAAGTGTGTTTAAAATGCTTTTCGACAAATACATATTTCAAATCAACCGACCAAATTTCCTGCAGTGATCTATAGAAAGGGTCCATTTCATTTATCATCTTAAGAATTATTATATTACATTAGTTATAAGTAACCTAACCATTTGAAATTCGGTAAGTATACATACATATGTAGGTTCCTAATTAATTTATACTGTTAAAACTAAATCTAATTAGTTTAAGGTCTCTAATTTTTTGTTGAAGCCTTAACATACTGGGACCTAGGGGGAAGTCCTAAAAGAGATAAAATTTAAACCAAATAAACCAAAAAAAACCAAAATAATATTTTTCTATGGTTTCAAGAAAATTTCCCAATATTGCCTTCAGATTTATGTTTCCTATTATCTGGAATTTTATATTCTGAAAAGTTTTTTATAGAATAATATTAATAGTTAGGAATTAAGGCTAATTTTCAAAAATATTACCAACATTTTTTTCGAAATCCTCCAAATTCCAATAGCAGTTACCGCTAATCTGTGGTAGATATCGACCTAATTTCTTTCTTTATTGTCCGTAAATCACGCAAGTTTGAAACTGGAGTTTTGAAACTGCCATCTGCAGGTTTTCCATCTATACCACAAACATGGTTTATATTATCTAATGGATATAAAAGCTCACATTTAAGTAAGGAATTAAGGCTAATTTTCAAAAATATTACCAACATTTTTTTTCGAAATCCTCCAAATTCCAATAGCAGTTACCGCTAATCTGTGGGAGATATCGACCTAATTTCTTTACTATTTTATTACTTTCTTTATTGTCCGTAAATCACGTACAATTTTCAAAATACTGAAATTTGCTTAATAAAATTGTTAAAAGTTTGAAACGGGAGTTTTGAAACTGCCGTCTGAAGGGTTTCCATATATACCACAAACACGGTTTATATTATCTAATGAATATAAAAACTCACATTTAAGTTAATGCGAATATAATTTATGTAATGACATACATAGTTTTATTAGAATAGTTCTCAAAGTTCAGTTTAAGTAGTCCTATCGTCAAAAATTTGTCCAGAATGCACTTTTATAACTTAAAGTTTAAGTCTAGACACAGAGAAGGTCAATATTCGTAACTTCTGTAAAATTAAAGAGTTAAATATTTAAGACACTGGGACTAAAATATCAAATTGCAGAAAATTGATGAGTGATACAAATTTTTTATTGTCATTTTCTGGATCAGCACAGCAAATAATACTAGGATTAGTGAAAATGATCTTATTATCAATCTTATCTTATTATCAATATCAATATTTTGAACTAGCCAAATTCCAAATTCGAATTGTTCATAATTTTTTTAAACAATAAATTCATTTTAGCTTCAATAACATATTCAGACTAAAAATTCTATAAAGTATAATAATATTGACAGTTAAATGCTACTTTTATTAAAAGAAAAAGTTTTCAAAAAACCTACCGACTAGAAGATAAATATAAATATATAAATTATAAAAAGAAAATCATAATATTAATAAAATCATAGTAAAAATCCCCATTTCAAAAAATGTTTATATAATTTAGTGTACTCGTATACTTTTAAGGTTTCAGTCTTGTTTCAAAAGGCGATAAAACAGATTTAAAGCTAAACAAACATTTAATTGAAATAATTAAAATTATGCATTGTTTTTAGAAATTTTAAGTTGATTTGATAATTTTTGAGTTAACTAATGTGAATATAAATCATTTTAGATAATTACCATTATACATGAGAGAATGAATATTTATAGAATTTGTAATAAGCTAGGGTTTCAAAGTGATTTTTTGGTCCATAAGATAATTACATATTTTCAAAATAATTTTCTTCTTAACTTTAGCAAACTTTTTTATATTTTAACTAAAAATCTTATAAAATTTGGAATAAAAATTCAAACTATAGACCGAAAATGAATCAAAGAAGATTTTCTAGGTCTTTAAAATTTCTAATGATTTTAAGCTTGTTTATGGGCCGCATATTAATCCATGCGTAAAATATTTTTTAATCAAATGATAAAATATGTTTTTACAAACATTTAATTAAAAATAATTAAAAAAGTTTAAATTATGTCTATTTTTCAGAAAAATTTTGATGTTATAATTATAATTTTTAATTAAAACAGTTAACAAAGTGATAAATCTGTTTTCGTAATTAATCTAACCTAAATAAAATGTATAAATTTAAAACGCACCATAATTTTTTGTACGATTTTAATTTTTAACTTTTATAAAATTTACTTTGTAAATCTTTTAAATATTAAACAAACAAAAAAAAAAAAAAACTACTACTAAAAACGAGACAAAAACTATATAATAACAAATATAAAAGTGAAAAAACAATTAAATAATTTTGAAAATTTACAAAATTCATTAAAAACAATTTAGTAATTAATGTACCAAACATTTTTTTATTTTTGTTATTTGTAACTATATTAAAAATAAATTGTTAAAAGAATTGTTTTAATTTTATATATAATATATACTTATACACAGAAATAATACTAATAAAAACTGAAGAAAAAAAAAAAACACAGAAATATATAGAAACAGACATAAAAAACAGACAAATTAAGCAAAATAATAAAAAAATAATATATATAGTAAATAATTTTAATTTAGTTAATTTATTTTATTGAACATAATAAAACATGTTAAAAACTGTTGAATTTAACAAAAAAGAGTTATTTAAGTTAAATTAATTAAATTTAAATAAGAAAAATACAAATAAATAAAATGATGATATAATCCTTGTAATAATGAATCCCAAAATAATGTGTTTTAATTACAAAAAAATTAATTTTATAAATTTACACCATGAATATAGGCAAATTTAAGGAAATTATTATTTATCAACATATTCAAGTATGTAAATTGTATCTTTTCCATAAAATATTCTTGAATGATCTTAAAGAAGGTTTGTTATATCAGTTAAATGATTTTAGGTTTCCATACCCTGTCTTTGATCAAATACAAGTCTGCTTTAGTATAAACA